GAAAACCAAATTCACAGCTCGACTTTAGTACAATGCTGAGAAGACAGGTGTTTAATAAAAACAGTCTAAGTGGGAATATACTATGATCTCGAAAGTAAAAATAGAAGCTGCTCCATCGGTCTAAACAGGACAAGACAAAAACCATCTCAGTACAGTACAGTGCAATTTCCGTGTTTTCACAAGAAAATCACTCCCTGGAATGAAAACTGCAAGTAGATGACATATTAAAATATATTCAAAATTCACCAGAGTGTTAGCACGATCAGCCAAGACCTACATTTATGAAAGGAAAATAAAAGAATATTACTCGAAGTATTGATTATAGAGTGTGAAAGAGTAACTACATGCTAAAGCCACTAGGCTTCTCAACTGATCTGTTACATAACCCAGAAGGTGGAAAAACTTGGAATCTGAGACAAGAGCAACACTGACTTGTTTCCATTCAAATTATCTACACGGGGGAAAATAAATGTGACGTTTGCAAACCTTTCTTTCCAAAGTCAGATTTTAGAGAAACCAACAAAAAGGAAATATGTGCTAAACTCCAGCCTACTACAGCTCCCCAACAGCCTGTGTCTGCCCCCGTCTTGTCCCTCAAACAGTTACCTCTTTAGCTGGCTGGCTCAAAGTGGGTCTGAATCCACGTGGCCTGCCTTCTGCCAGGCTCACAAACCATAGCCGTGTTACATAAACCATCACAACTGCACGCCTTATCTCAAGGTCAGCAGGTAAGCCAGCTTGATAGCACAGAAAAGCCCTGGGATGGCAGCTCAAACAGCCACTCAGAAGCACATGCTTTTGGTGCTAGAGAGATGGCTCTGTGCTAAAGAGCACCGGCTGCTCTTTCCAGGGGGCTTGGGTTTGATTTTAAGCATCCACATGACAGCTGACAACTATCTAGCCTCCTGGCACTAGGCACACAAGTCATGCGTGGACATATGCACAGACACACATGTGGACAAATATCCCCACACATAAGACAGGATAAAAATATATGCTAAAACAAAAGACACACATGCTTTTCTGACAGTGGAAGGGAGTCATCACCTGGGTCATCCTGTATTTGCTGAGTACCTGGTTCTACTCTTGTATACCTGGCATGCACTGGACCTACGCCCTGGCTTGACAAAGCTAGCACCAGCTGCCCAAGGAAACTGTGGATTGCACCCTCCTTCATCACTGGAGGGTGTCGGAGGCATCTCCTGTCCAACCTGTGAGACTGGCTGTTGCCATGTTTGCCCCAGAAGCCTCTGCCAACACTGGGAGTTCAGCTGTTCTCCATGGCTAGATCCTCTGCATGGCTCCTCAGGCTCCATGCCCCCTCCCAAGGGGTGAGATTATTGCAGTCTCCAGAGCAGATGCCTCATGCAGAACCAGGACAGACAGTCCAGGATGGGGAGGCATTCTCCCCGAGACACTGAAAGAGGGTACACTAAACATCTATCACTAAGTTTGCCATGCCAAGTTATCTTCCTAGATGTAACACTCACAGCCCTGGGCTCCAGGAAGTACAAGCGAGCTGTTCCTTTATTAAGCAGTCAAGGAATCCAGGGCTCTACCTTGAGGATAACTTACTATGTTATAGCTAAGTCTTAAAATACAAACTGGACTAATCACACTCCCCCCCTGGAATTCAACTAGAAATACGGAAACATTTGAGCTGACTCACGGCGGAAGACAGCAATGGAGACTTAGCTCTCAGTGTTCACATCTCAGCTGCCTGTCACCCTACTATAGCCTCCATGGCACCTGCTCACATCAAAGCTCCTCTTCTCTTCAGATCCTCTTATCACTTACAGCCACACCCTGCATTGATGTAGTACTGTAGCATCTGTGATCTGTCCAGTCTAAAACTTCACTACAAAGCAGCTCATCCAGATACATAAACAGTGAGGTATCACCAAGGAGGCAGAGTCTTCTTATAGCTAAACTATAGATAAAAAGCAACTGCTACAAGCCCGAGAAATCTCCTTGGAAATATTTGAGCTTATGTGAGAATGACAGAGCACCAGGGTTCAGAAAAAGACAAGGACTACTTTGGCCTTCAAGCAGCTATGAAAATATATATTGAGTCATACATACAGTTTAAATTACTAATTTCTATATGAATTATAGCCTTAGAAAGAACATAATTTATCAGATTATATAGTCAAAGTACATCTCTTCTAAGCAAAAATGAATGAAAAAAATCTCTTCATTTCCCAGGTAAAATATTAACTATTGATCTCTCAGGTTCAAGCCAGTCTAATAAAAGCTATGTGCACTAATGAAAAGATGCTTCTAGAACCTGATGGACTTCTACTCTCTGAGCAAGTAATGAGCCTGTTCATCAACTCGCAAAGCTGTGGTTCATTCATCTAAAAAGTATTCAAGGGGAAATGTGCCAGGCATGAAGATGCTTGGTGCAAAGCAGTGAACTAGGCAGGAAGGATCTCCCCGCTCTTACACTCGCATTTGGAAAACAGAAACAGGGACTTCAAAGAAAAGTAACTTGAAGGTAAGAAAGAAATATGAGGAGAAGGGGAGCGGAGGGCTTAGGGGCAGCTACTTTAGATACAGAAGTCAAGACAGACAGCCGTTGTTGTCAAGGTGACATCTGAGCAGAGACCTGAGGGAAGAAAGGGAGCATCCCATTCAGAAATCTGGGGGAAGCTGAGACAAAAGTCCCATTGCTCTAGGAGGACTTTGCTGTCCAGTTTAAGGGACAGCAGGGCTGGGCAAAGTGGGGTATTTCTGTAATGCAAGTACTAAAGAAAATCAGGACATCAAGGTCACCCTGAGCTCCCTCATGAGACGCAAAGATAAGCAGTGATGGTAGAAGGCAACCAAGATTCAGCCAACTGGGTCTTACAGAAAAACGATGAACCGTTTCAGGCATGATTCAGACCAATGTGGCCCCTGGCTTCTGCAGAGGTCCATTATATACCAAACAAAGAAGCAAAAAGGTGAGTTCACAGCAGCAATGCACCATTTATCTGACTGGGAACTCAAGAGGAAACTTGCTGCAGATGTCCAAATTAGCATAAACTTCACAAAGAGATTGCTTTGGGAAGCCATGTGACATCAAATCCGGAGTCATTAAGATTTTCATCTCTAGTTAAGTAGCTTCTAATTTAGCCTAAAGAAAACAACTTGAAAGAAAAGGGCACAGGCAAGAATACATAAACATAAGTATTATTACTAATGGTCTAAATGGCCAGCAAGCAAATAAATTAGGCGTGGAATAGGTGAGGCAGCCACCACAAGCCATTAGACACTTTGTGGGGATAAGAGATCAAAATGTGAACACAAGACTGCATCTTAGCTGTTATACTCATAACATACTCAGCCCTGTATGCATACATGCATATCTACCATACACACGCGTACACACGCGCTCACATGAATGCACACACAGGCATAAAGCCTACAAGGAAACGAAAAGATGCTGACGGTAAGCTCTTCTCAGGAGGCACCCCCATTCTCACTGCTCAGGGAAAGCTGCAGTTTTGCTCTGGTTCTATCACTCCATTACTCTTATTGGGTATTATTTATAATACCAAGTATTTGACAAGAAGGCCACGGCCATCTCTATTTCAGGATCTTAGTAACTATTACTATAAAATCTACTTATTTGTTCATTTTCCTCTCCCTTCTCAAAAAGATGACTCAAGACACATGCGTCTCCAACCTGTCTCTGCTCCCAAAGGCCTGACTATAAACCAAGTGCCTGGCCTGTGCCTGTAGGAATCTCTGCTCAGTTCACATATAAGGACAGATCAATGCTACATCAAATCATCAACATACCAACTTGGTTTTCCCTCTGGCCAACAACGCCATCAGTCTACCACTTAGTGGAAGGGATTTTAATACACCCTGCCATCAAACCTCCTGTCATCATGACGGCTCCATCACTGGAACCAGTGATTTCTTCCTCCTCCTATTCTCACTGCTAGTACCCTAGATCTTCATAACTTCTCTACAAAACTAATCATGAAGCCTGGTGGTGGTGGTGCACTCGGGAGGCACAGGCAGCCAGATCTTTGTGATCTCAAGAACAGCCTGGTCTACAGAGCTAGTTCCAGAACAGCCAGGGCTATACAGAGAAACTCTGTTTCAAACACTAAAACATCCGGGCGGTGGTGGCGCACGCCTTTAATCCCAGCACTCGGGAGGCAGAGGCAGGTGGATCTCTGTGAGTTCGAGGCCAGCCTGGTCTACAAATTGAGTTCCAGGAAAGGTGCAAAACTACACAGAGAAACCCTGTCTCGTAAAAACAAAACAAAACAAAAACAAAACCACTAAAACAAACAAACAAACAATAAAAAACCAAACTAACCATGAAAACCACTCCTTTGCTCAAACAAATGAGCCCTCAGTGATACCTGGGTACTATGCAAAGTATTCTATGTGCAATTTCTTGTTTAAGCATAAGACAGCATATGAAGACATAATCATATCCTCATTTTTTAGATGAAATTTAGGAAGATTAATAGTTGTCCATCAAGGTGTGGAACAGGAATACCATGCAGGTTGTTTGTTCATAGTCCATATTTGAGATCACCAGTTACTCAGCTCAAATATGGTTAAGGTTCTGACTTCACTCATCTTTAAAGACCATCCTGAATATGTTCACCTCTGTGATATCCTTATTTTTAAATTTGAGACTAATACAATTAATACAATGCAATTAAGAACTTTAGACTCATAGCCATTTACGATGGCACGTACCTGTAATCATACCACCTAAGGAGTTCAAGGTCATCCTCAGATACATATAGAGTTCAAAGCCAGACCATGTCTCAAACATTCAGTGCAGGAGAAGCAGCTCACTGGTGGAGTGTTTTCCTGGCATGCGTGAAGCCCTAGATTCCATTCTCTCACACATAACGGTGATCATCAGTGTTATTTTACTTAGGGAAAGGGGTCAACAGCTATTTCAAGACTTGTAAGAATGCCTTACACGGAGCTGTCTGGCAGCCTGGCCTCTGACAGACAGGGTGATGTCTTGAGTCCATTACCTTTAGGAGGGAAGTACGACTTGCTCTCTGCTTTATGAGGCCAGTCTACCACGAGAGGTCCAAACCTGCGGAAGCTGGCAGTGATCTCATCTGTAAAATAAAGAAGGAATTTAGCAAAATGGAAAAAAACAAAAAACAAAAACCCTGCAATCATAAGAAATATAAAATATATCTTTTTACTTTAAAAATGTTTTGAGGGACCCCCCTCCTTTTGCATTTATTTTCTTTTTAGAGCTTTTCTGAAGTATCTTTACAAAAGTAAAATCTGCAAAGTGAAATGCCATTACTCGGGAATACATTTGGTTATTAGCTTCTAACCACGAAAAAATGTTTCTAACTCTAATTCCTTTCCTTTTATTACCAATAAACTTAATAAGAAAATCTAATACTAGTCAAGGTGATCTTTATGTCAAGCAAAACAGGAGATTCCAAAAATGGGAATGTTTCTCTATTTTTAGAAAAAAGGTAAAGATGCAGAAAATGTTTCAAATATAATTTCATGGACAGGAGAGATGGTTCAGTGTATAAAGGCCCATGACTAATGACCTGAGTTCAACCCCTGGAGCTCACATGGTAGCAGAACAAATTATCCTCTGTGCTGTGGAATGCACACTACTCCCCAAATAAATAAATGTAAATTGAAAAGCTGGGAGGTGGTGGTGCACGCCTTTAATCCCAGCACTTGGGAGGCAGAGCCAGGTGGATCTCTCTGAGTCAAGGCCAGCCTGGTCTACAGAGCAAGATCCAGGACAGGCACCAACACTACACAGAGAAACACTGTCTTGAAAAACAAAAAAAAAAAAAAAAAAAAAAAAAGAAAGAAAGAAAGAAAGAGGAGAAGAGAAGAGAAAAGATAGACATATAATCATTTGTACGGAATCTCTAGGATTATAAATAATTCTATTGATGAGGAACAGGACAACAAAGTAGATGACACTATTTGGTGATGTAAAAGGGTTAAAAGTCAATTGTCTCTCCTATATCTCCATACTGCCTTCTTTACTGAGATGAGACTTTACTTGCAGCTCAATTATTTTCTCCCTTTCTTTTGACTTTTGACTCATAGAAGACTGTGACTTTGTAACTCCTTGGATGTAGGTTGTCATTCTATCAGCAATGGCAAGAAATTTATCCTAAAGAAAATCTAATGGACAATAGTAACACAGATATGAGGACAGCTAGAGGAAAATGAGTCTGTGGCCATCTACAACTTGAATGTAGTAAGTCTAAAACTATTTTTAGCACCCCAACACACACGTCATGAAAGGGCTAAAGAAACCCTGACCTATTTAGATTAACATTACAGCTGCACTGACCCAGCAGGCCAGTGTTAGGAGGTTTTCATAGCACATCCAAAGCCTATGAGAACTAGAGCAGTTTTTAAGTTAGCTTTGTCACCGTTTAATTTCATTTACACATTCAATGTGTGGTTATTGATGTTGCCTGGAGAAGAGTCAGGGTCCGAGCACAATGCACAAAATGCGCAATGCATAACAGTTAGCTCTTGTAAAGTTCTTAATGAATGCATGCGGTACCTTCATCGATGTCAGGAGGAAGGCCTCCAACAAACACCTTTCTAGAGTAGCGTTCCACTCGTTCCCCATTTTGACATCGAGTGGGAGAACTTAAGCCAGATGATAAAGCCTGATCGCCATGGCTGTCATCCAAGAAGGCGTCTTCAAAGGGAAAGAGAGAAGACCGACCTGAAACAAAGCAGCAATTCCTACAATCAGAATGGCTTCCCTAGCAAACAAGGCTGTATCAGAAGCCCATTGTACCAAGTGAAGCATACAAAACACAATGTATCTTGAGGTACAGCTTTTCCAAGAGAATACTTCAACTGAAGATCACTAAGTACAGCCACGTTTACATACAACACTGAAATAATATCTAAGGAGGAAACATCAAAACTGCATGCTTTCCTTGATAATTACACTCATACAGTCCCCATCGCAGCTACTAAGTATATATCCTCCGAGGAGGAGGGGCACACATACAAGCCTCAACCCTCGCTGAGGAGCTGCTGGCAGTTGACAGCTTCATGGGGAGGGAGAAGCATCTTTCTTTGGGGATATGTCCACTGGTAGGTGAATGCACCCACACCCATATGAATATGGGCAGCACTAGTTGGACTCTATTGAGTGGGAAAAAGGCCAAATAAAATTGGGAGGGGCATGTGCTGGGGGTTCTGGAGGAGTAGAAAGAGGGATAAGATCAAAATACATTTTATACATATATGACATTCTCAAAGAATAAATAAAATATTATGTTACTAAAAGAATATACCTATAGGTTATTTTTTCCTTTCTTCAATCATTTTTGAAAGTACGCAGGAGAAGCAATATATATATATATATATATATATATATATATATATATATTTATATATTTCCCCAGATCTTTATCTGCTCTTGATGATGACCCCAGGGGTACAGTTGTAAAGGCTGGCCCTGATGACAGAAGCTAATGATGTCTCTTCTAATAACAGGGCCAATGATGCTTTTCCTAACATGCAAACATACTCCAATTTGAAAATAGGCACACACAACAATATTGGGCAGGATGTATAAATGAAAATACTAAATCAAGATGTGTTAATATAGCATGGCTATAACTATGACTATTACTCTATTAACATTATTATTCTACACTGTATTTTAATCATTCAACAAAACAAAACAAAAAGCAGAACATCATGGCACATGGATTTAATCACAGCCCATGGGAAGTCATAAGCAGGAAGATCTCTGTGAGTTCAAGAGCAGCCTGGCCTACACAGTGAGTTCCAGGTCAGTCAGGGCTACAGTGATGCTGTCTCTCAGAAAAACAAACAACAACAAAATTCCCATGGAATTATTTTCCTTTTGGTTTTTTGAGACAAGATCCTTCTGTGTAGCCTTGGCTATCTAGGAACTCAATACATAGACCAGGATGGCCTCAAATTCATAGACATCTGACTGCTCCTGCATCCCTAATGCTAGGATATGAGATGTGAGCCACCATGACTGGCAATTATTTTCAACTGGGCATTTCAAAACAAATCCCAAATTAAAAAATAATTTTTCTTGTTTGAGTCTGTGAGTTCCTGGTAAAACTTTCCACTAGGTTCTACTGTCTTGAGCACTCCAGCTTTAGAGGAAGGTAGGAAGAAGAAACAGAGAAGAGAGAGAAGATAAGGAAAAGGAGGAGGGGGAGGAGAAGGAAGAGGAGAGAAAGCAGAAGAAAGGGAGGGATGAAGGGAGGAGAAGAAACAGCAGCAGGAAGAATAAAGGAAGAAAGCAGAGGAGTCCATCTCTAAGATAAACCACAGACTTTTAAGGAAATAAGCACACAAAAGCACCCTCCCATTTATTCAATCCTCTTTATTTCCCTGAAACCCAGGTTCTGTATAACAATAGCCAACATTCAAAAACAGAATATAAACAGCCTTAGAAAAATGGTGAATATTTCTTTTACCAAAAAGTAAAAATATTGCTAATATAATCCTGTTATATTATATGCAACTCAACGGTGTAGGAAAGGTACTGCTCTGAAGTTTGGAGTTAAGAAATAAAAGGGCCAAGAGTGGGGATGGCAAGACACCAAACAGTTTATTCCGCTCTTCCCAGTGTAGCTCCAAAGACACAGACAGTCTGTGTCATTTGCTCCTTTCCTCTTTCTGTCTGGTGGGAACAAACAATAGGCAGTAAACTGTCGTCCCTTGGTGTTTGTTTTGATCACCGGGAGAAAAAGAAACAGATCTGTGGCAACTAGACAAAGTGAGCTCCCACACATTTTCTGACAGCAACCAGGTAAACCTGCCATGCAGTCCACACTCTGAACCTCATGTTCAAGTCAGCAGTTCCTGCAGAACGTCTCTTCCCACCTCTTCACTTCAACACAAGAACTATGAGATGGGCCAAACACAAAAGATGGAGAAGAGGCAGGAATGGAAAGCTTCCTGTGTTATGGTCTGCCCTACCCTCATGAGAAAGCAAAATGCTGTTCTGCAATAAAAAAGCATTAACTTACTCCCAGCATTACCCAGAACTAAGATAACAGAAGCCTTTAACTCAGTGGAAACTACTTGAGGGAAAATGTATCCCTCTCCCAAGAGCAGCTAAGAACCTCCAGACAAAGGAATCCCAGTCTAATGAGGGAGCAGGCAAGCACACAAGTGACTATGAAACAGTAGGTACTGAGAAAGCCAAGAGACAGTGTGACCCTCCTGTGGTTTGCAAGAGGGCAGTCTGCAGCATAATTTTGTGGAGTGTGAGTGTGAGTGAAAAGACCAAAGACCCACAGAGAAAATAGCTTCATAAAAGCTCCCGATCTTTCATTTAAATCTGCTCCTCTCCAGCATCCCTTACAATGTCAACACAAAGGCCATCTGGGAGATGGCTCAGTGGGTAAAGTGCCTGCCTTACAAATATGGGAACTAGAGGTCAGAGCCTGAGCCCCTGTATAGATGCCTAGTGGGCACAGTGGCCCGCCTGTAACCCTAGCATGTGGGAGGCAGAGACGGGGGATCCTGGAGCAAGCTGGCCCGCTGGACTAGCACAATCAGGAAGCTCTGGGCTCAAGTGAGAGAACATGCCTAAATATGTAAAGTTCAAGGTGGAGAATAATCAAGGAAGTCAGCTAACATTAACCTTCCAAGAACCTGCACACATGTACACACACATCCACACACACGAGCTCACATACTACACATTCCCTACACAAGTAGAAAACAAAGACCTTTTATACATACCTGATGCAATCCAGAAATTTAGTATTTAGCCTGGATATTCTTTCTCTCTCCCTCCTTCCCTCCCTTTCCCCATATCAAATCCATTTCTCACTAAATTCTACCAATTCAATATTCAAAATATAATTTACTTTAATTCCTGTCCATCACCAGTTCTAACACCCTGTCCTTGTCTCATGGTCTGCATAACTGCAGAAAACCTTTCCTCACTCATTTCTACCTAGAATTCAACAATGCTTTCTAAGGGAGGGAGGGAGGGAGGGAGGGAGGGGGGGAGGGAGGAAAAACCTGAAGTAGCGATTTTCCAGCATTAATCTGAACACATAACCACACCCTCCCAGTCTCAACTTCAAAAGCTCCCAATGACCTTCCACTGTCTTTTGGATAAAGTACGAAAACAATCACTGCGTTACGACCAAGTCCCTGACACAGAGGCTGCCACTCCTTGCTGAGTAACCTCTCTAATCACAGAGTTCCTTTGGGTTTCCTGATTCTTCCTCCTTGTCACGGGTGCTAAGGACACGGTGTTCTGCTAACCTCTAAGCATTCCTTTCTCCAATCACAGTTAAGTCTTTAAAAAAGAATTGGATTTATTTATTTGTATGAGTGTTTTGCCTAAATGTATGTAAACGCACCACACATGTGCCCTGGCACCCACAGAGGCCAGAGTTTTGCACCAGAGCCCCTGGAACAATAGATAGTTGTGAGCCACCACGTGGGTGCTGGGAATCAAACCCAGGTCCTCTGCAAGAGCAGACAGTGCTTTTAACTGCTGAGCCATCTCTCCCACCCCATAGTTAATCCTTAATTCTTTCGGTCTCAGCTGCCATCTTCTTGTATGGAACTGTACTGACCCTTCAGATTGGGTATGCTTCCCATCCATGCAAACCATCCTGTGCTTCTCCCTCCCCTTTCCCCAGTTAACACCGTAGCATTTCTCGAGTATATGTTTCCCACCCAATTACACTGTAATTACCATTAGGATAGGGACCAAATTAATCTGCAACATTGTATCTGGGGACCCAAAACATGTTAAATGTGAGGCAACACCTAAGGAGCAAAACTGTGTGCAAAGTTCCAGTAATCCCAGCACTTGGGGGAATGAGGAAGGAGGATCAGGAGTTCAAGGCTTGACTGGATTACTTTAGTGAATTCTGGACTATAGCATGAGACTATCTCAAAAACAAACAAAAGAAAACAGTATATAAAAAGACAGGCGTGCTTCTGTGAGCATATATTCAATGAGCATAACACAGGGATCTGGTTACATAACAAATGTGATCATCCCCTAGGTGTGGTCTTAACTGTTGCTGCTTTTCACCTACGCAAGATTATAGTCTATACTTAGTATTAAACCAAGTTCCCTCCTCCCAAATGCAATACTTCATTCTAATACTGGCCTCTTCTTCTTCTTCTTCTTCTTCTTCTTTTTTTTTTTTTTGTTTTGTTTTTCGAGACAGGGTTTCTCTGTGTAGCTTTGCGCCTTTCCTGGAACTCACTTGGTAGTCCAGGCTGGCCTCGAACTCACAGAGATCCGCCTGGCTCTGCCTCCCGAGTGCTGGGATTAAAGGCGTGCGCCACCACCGCCCGGCGTTCTTTTTTTTTTTTTAATTTAAAGATAGGATCTCAGCTGAATGGTGGTGGCACACGCCTTTAATCCCAGCACTCTAGAGGCAGAGGCAGGCGGCTCTCTGTGAGTTCAAAGCCAGTCTGGTCTACAGAGCAAGTTCCAGGACAGCCAGGGCTACACAGAGAGAAACCCTGTCTTGAAAAACCAAAAACCAAAAAACCAAGCCAAAACAAAATCAAACCAAAAAACAAACAAACATAAAGAATGTGTCTCAAACACTCCAGGCTGGTCTCAAACTCGCTCTACTTGCTGCTGTGTCAGATCACGTCTCTAAGCTACCTCTGGCTGTGCTTTGTCCCAAAGCACACAGTAACTTCTATCACCTCTACCAGCCATTTGAACCC